CCCGCCGGCAACCGCCCCGCCCTGCCCTGCCCTGCCGCACCGCGCCTCGCGCGCCGCCCAATCCACAACCGCCGCGCGCGCCGCCCAATCCACAACCGTCTCCCCGGCCTCGCGCGCGCTGCCCCGCCCTGCCCCCGACTTTTATAAGGCACTAGCGAGCCGCGAACTTGAGCTCCAGCATCCTAGCTCCTATTGGTCGCGTTCCCCTCTTGCGCTTCCATAGGCTGCCTGCGGAATCAAGGCCACGCCCCTCCCCACCTGTTTCCGGCCCCACGTGGGATCTGAACGCGGGCAGCTGCGAAGCACCGGGCGCGTGTCTTGACACCTGATGGCAGATGCACTTGTTTATTTGCATAAAACGGTCCTAAGCCGGTTCATTGGGCGTTTTGCATAAATGGGCATCGAGGCCCCGTTCCTATAGGGGGACATATTTGCATATATTTGCGTGTCGTGGGCTCATGACACCGTCATATGCATATATTTGCATCGCTGCTCCAGTCAATTTATATAGTGTGTAGATATTTGTATCGGAGTGCTAGTCTTCTGAGGTCTCTATTTTTGCATATATTTCTGCTCTAGGTTTTGTTGCTTGCTGTGCCTATAGTTGCACTATTTGTATATATTTACATATATCTGTTAGGCATGTGAAAGGTTAGAACTTCCCCAGGCCGGTGCTTCAAAGAGGGATGCCCTTTTAAGCGGTTAACCAATTAAGTGGGATTGTCCATCTCTAATATCTGCATATATTGCATTGAAAGCTATGTATATCTATGTGGTGCTATTAACATATTTTTGCACTGTTTCACCATCCATGTATTTGCATTTATTTTGTGTGACTGGTTTTGTAACTGCATAACTTTGCTTATTTTGTGTATCATTCCATATTTGCATATATTTACATTGTGAGCTATTTTCCTCTACATGTATGTACTACTATTAATGTATTTTTCACTGATTCCCCATTTATCTATTCACATTTCCCCATGGCTGATTAGCATACATGGCCATATATTTGCATACATTCCTATATTTTCATTGTGAGCTGCCTTATGTATTTTCCACTGATTCCCTATTGTTTTATTCACATCTACTTTGATTCTGAATATATTTATATATTTTGGCATACATGTGCATATATATCTGCATACAGATATTTGCATTGTGAGCCATCTTCATTTATGTACTACTATATTTATGCATTTTTGCACTGATATCCTATTCTTTAGTCACACGTATTTTACCAATTAATTTTGCATATATTTACACGTATTTGTATATGTTTGCATTTATTTGCATCCACACTTATGTTTTTTGTCTGTTTGGCTATGTCTAGACTGCAATGTTTTATTGGAAAAAGGTACGCAAATTGTGCTCTGTAATTTGCGTACCTTTTTCTGATAGTTTTGTGGGGAGAGGCTTTTCCAAAATTTGGCCCATCTACACTAGCCCAAATTTTGGAAAAACCTCTTCTTTCAGAAGAGCCCTTCTTCCTCGTGGAATGAGGAAGACAGGGCTTCCGAAAGAGTGCGTCTGCTCTTCTTCAAAACAAAAAACAGAAGAGCAGGTACGTTCTCTGGAAGCAGCAGAGTTTTTCCGGTATCCCAGAAAAACCCCATAGTCTAGACATAGCCTTTGCCATTGTTGCTGCCATAAGAACATAAGAATGGTAATACAGGATCAGACCAAAGGTCCATCTAGCTCAGTATCCTGTCTTCTGATAGTGGCCAGTGCAAGGTGCCCTAGAGGGAGTGAACAGAAACAGGTAATCATCAAGTGATCCTTTTCCTGTCATCCATTTCCAGCCACTGAAAAACAGAGGTTAGGGACACCATTCCTACCCATTTTGGCTAATAAGCAGGGCTCGACAATTAAGGGAATCTACTCGCCCGTGGCGAGTAGATTTTAGCCTGGCATGGCACCGCAGTGCAATCAGCGCATGCGCATGCACAGCGTGCCAAACCATGCGGCTGGCAAGCGGGGCTCGTCGCCGCTTGTCAAGCCCTACTGATAGGTATTGATGGACCTAACCTTCATGAATTTATCTTGTTATTTTTTTAACCTTGTTAAAGTCCTGGTCTTCACAACATCCTTTGGCAAGGAGTTCCACAGGTTGACTGAGTGCTGCATGAAGAATAACCTCCTTTTGTTTGTTTTAAACCTGCTACCTATTAATTTCATTTGGTGACCCCTAGTTCTTATGTTACGGGAAGAAGTAAACAACTTTTCCTTATTAATTTTCTCCATACCTCTCATGATTTTATAGACCTCTATCATATCTCCCCACATAGTTTCCTCTTTTTCTAAGCTGAAAAGTCCCAGGCTTTTTAATCACTTTTTATATGGCACCTGTTTCAAACCCCTAGTCATTTTTGTTGCCCTTTTCTGAACCTTTCCCAATGCCAATATGTCTCTTTTTTGAGATGAGGCGACCACATATGGACGCAGTACTCAAGATGTGGGTGTACCGTGGATTTATATAGAGGCAATAAAATATTCTCTGTCTTATTCTCTATCCCTTTTCTAATGATTCCTAACATTCTGTTTGCTTTTTTGACTGCTATGGTACATTGAGTGGACGTTTTCATCCACAATGACTTTAAGATCTCTCTTTTGAGTGGCTAAATTAGTCCCCATAATTTTGTATGTGTAGTTAGGATTATTTTTCCAATGTACATTACTTTGCATTTATCAACCATAAAAATAATTTGTCATTTTGTTGCCCAGTCATCTAGTCTTGTAAAATCTTTTTGAAGCTCTTCACAGTCAGCTTTGGTCTTAACTATCTTGAGCAGTTTGGTAACATCTGCAAATTTTGCCACCTCACTGTTTATCCCTTCCTCCAGATCATTTATAAAGAGGTTAAATAGGATTGGTCCCTATTTGGTGTCCTATTTGAGGGACACCACTAGTTACCTCTCTCCAATCTGAAAACTGACCTTTTATTCCTACCCTTTTTTTCTGTCCTTTAACCGGTTATCAGTCAATGAAAGGACCTTCTCTCTTATCCCGTAATTAACTTTACTTGAGAGCCTTTGGTAAGGGACCTTGTCAAAGGATTTGTAGCAATCTAAGTACAGTTTATCCATTCAATCCCCCTTGTCACATGCTTGTTGATCTCCTCAAAGAACTCTTGTAGATCAGTAAGGCATGAATCCATGTTAACTTTTACCCAGCAAATTATGAAAAGTCTAGTAGCACCTTAAAGACTAACAAAACATTTGGGCTGTGTCTAGACTGCATCCCTTTTCCGTAAAAGGAATGCAAATTAGACACATCTCAATTGCAAATGAAGCGGGGATTTAAATCCCCCCCGCTTCATTTGCATTAAAATGGCTGCCGCTTTTTCCTGGCTCGGAGTTTTGCCGGAAAAGCGCCAGTCTAGACGCGGATCTTTCGGAAAATAAAGCCTTTTCCGAAAGATCTCTTTTCCTTATTTTAAGAGGAATAAGGGATCTTTCGGAAAAGGCTTTATTTTCCGAAAGATCCACGTCTAGACTGGCGCTTTTTTCCGGCAAAGCTCCGAGCCGGAAAAAAGCAGCAGCCATTTTTATGCAAATGAAGCGGGGGGGGGGGTTAAATCCCCGCTTCATTTGCAATTGCGATGTGTCCAATTTGCATCCCTTTTACGGAAAAGGGATGCAGTCTAGACACAGCCACAGATGGTATCATGAGCTTTCGTGGGCAAAACCCACTGCTTCAGATGCCTGGAGCATTAGAACCAACAAATTATGTTTGTCTATTCTATGTGTCTGATTCTTAACTATATTTTCTGCTAATTTGCCTGGTACTGACATTAGACTTACCGTTCGGTAATTGCCAGGATCGCCTCTAGAGCACTTTTTAAATATTGGTGTCCCATTAGATATCTTCCAGTCATTAGGAAGAGAAGCTGATATAAGGAATAGGTTACAAACTCCAGTTAATAGTTCCACAATTTCACATTTGAGTTCTTTCAGAACTCTTGGGTGAATGCCATCTGATCCTGGTGACTTGTTACCATTAAGTTTATCAATTTGTTCTTAAACCTCCTCTAATGACACCTCAATCTGGTACAATTCCTCAGATTTGTCACTTAAAAAGAATGGCTCAGGTTTGTGAATCTCCCTAATATGACATGAAGACTGAAACAAATAATTTATTTAATTTCTCCAAAATTACTTTATTGTCTTTGATTGCTCCTTTAGCATCTTGGTCGCCCAGTGGCCCCACTGGTTGTTTAGCAGGCTTCCTGCTTCTGATGTACTTAAAAATATTTTGCTTTATTACTTCTATTTGTATGTTTCTGCATGTTCTAAGTCTCTCTGTGTAAATTTGTATTTACTTGCATATACATACATTTCTGTGTGCATGGAGTTAAATTTCATTTTATTGTTGACTGAATTCCTTCATGTGCACATATTAGCATATTTCCAGAAATGTTTACAAAAATTCCATTTTTGGCTTTCCAATCTCCGTCCACGTATTAGAATAGCTAGCATATATTTGCATATAGCTTCATCAATGGGTTTATTCCTCCACATCCATAAATTTGCAGATTTTGCATCTCTTTGTGAATGGCATATATTTTCATATATTATGTGGGCCCATTCATACTGATTTTGTTAACCTCTGTGCATCTTTATGCATATGTCAGAATAAAAACTATCCAATTTTAATATATAATAAGATGTATGTATCTATATATAACATTGTATTAATTATTGCATTACTATTTGGCTGTGTCTACACTGGCAAGATTTTGCGGAAAAGCAGTTGCTTTTGCAGAAAATCTTGCCGCCTGTCTACACTGGCCGCGCGGAATTTGTACAAAATCAGTGCTTCTTGCGCAAATACTCTGACGCTCCCGCTCAGGGATAAGTCCCCTTGCGCAAGTGTTCTTGCGCAAGAGGCCAGTGTAGACAAGTAATATCAATTTCTTGCGCAAGAAAGCGTGATGGCTAAAGTGGCCATCGGAGCTTTCTTACGCAAGAGAGCGTCTACACTGGCATGGATGCTTTTGCGCAAAGGCACATGCCAGTATAGAAGCTCTCTTGCGCAAATACTTTTAACGGAAAAACTCTTCCGTTAAAAGTATTTGCGCAAAATCATGCCAGTGTAGACGTAGCCTTTGTGTATATTTGCATCACTGGTCACTGCTAGTTATGCTCTGTATTTGCATATATTATAATAATCAGTAGTGCTGATGCACATATGAGAAAATTGCTTGCATTTGTAGGCTCCTATAGGCATTATTAATTAGACTTTATAATAATATATGTTGTAATAATTAAGATAGGTATTCTGTTTGCATATCATTGACCCAAAATACATCTTGTAGCATGTATGATAATTTTAGACCCTTAGAGCTATTTATATGCATAATAGGGATGTCAACATGTAGACAACTACATGATTAACCGATAAGTGTCAACTATACGCACACCACCCCTTGCTGCTTCTGTATCAAAAATGATTAGGGGTTTGAAACAGGTGCCATATGAAGAAAGATTAAAAAGCCTGGGACTTTTCAGCTTAGAAAAGAGGAGACTTACGGGGGAGGGGGGAAATATGATAGAGGTCTATCAAATCATGACAGGTATGGAGAAAGTGAATAAGGAAAAGTTATGTACTTGTTCTCATAACATAAGAACTAGGGGGTCACGAAATTAAATTAATATGTAGCAGGTTTAAAACAAACAAAATGAAGTTATTTTTCATGCAGCACACTGTCAACTTGTGGACCTCTTTGCCAGAGGATGTTGTGAAGACAGGACTTTAACAGGGTAAAAAAAATAACAAGATATATTCATGGAGGTTAGGTCCATCAATACTTATTAGCCAAAATGAGTAGGAATGGTGTCCCTAGCTTCTGTTTTTCAGGGGCTGGAAATGGATGACAGGAGAAGGATCACTTGATGATTAGCTGTTTCTGTTCACTTTCTCTGTGACATCTGGCATTGGCCACTGGCACTGGCCATTGGATACTGGGCTAGATGATCCTTTGGTCTGACCCAGGATGGCTGTTATGTTCTTCTCTCAGCACAGGATGAGTGATCCCTAAACAAACAGCTGTGCCACTCCAGAAGCAGCTGCATCTCAGTACCGGATGAGGGGGTCCCTGTGTAACCAGCTGCCCCACCCCAAAGGTAGCTGCATCTCAGGGCCAGGCTAGATATGTAACCAGCCAGTCTGCCTCAGCGATTGTTGCATTTCTGCACAGAGCTAGGTATTCCTATATAAACAGCCAGACCACCCCAATACTGACTGCATCTCAGTACTGAGCAAGGAATCCTTGTATAAACTGTGTGCTCCAGTCCAGAGGGGGCTGCATCTTGACAGCAGGTGAGGGATCTCAAGCTTATATTAAACAGATTTCATCCTGTAACATCTGCTACTCGCTCATGCTTATGGATACATGGCTACACAGTATCATTACAATCAATGGGTTCTTGATTGTGAAACAAAATGACCATCCTATGCAAATACAATCTTGTATTGTATCCCCTTGGTCTTCATCTATTTTAGATGATAAACCCTTTGGGGGCACAGATTGTATCTTTGGAAGTATTTGTCCAGCAATACAGGGCATTAGGGTGTTGTCAAGATGAAATAATCATAATTCACTATGGGTTAAAATGCAGCTGCCTCTGGGATGAAGTGCAGCTGTTTATAAAAAAATATTTTGCCCATTGCTCAGGTGCAGCCGCAGGAGGCTGGTTACACTGAAACCCCTCACCCAGTCCTGAGATGCAGCTACCTCTGGGGTGAGGGGAAGATGGTTACACAGGGATCCCTTCCCTGCCACTGAGATGCAGCCACCTCTGGGGCAGGGTGGCTGGTTAGATGGGGGCCCTCACCAGGCGCTAAGATGTAGCCACCTCAGAAGCAGGGGAGCTTGTTGCACAGGGATCCCTCACTCGTTTGGGAAAGGAGATGAAAATTCCACACTACCAGGTTGCTTCCATTCCTCAGTCACTTGCTTTTGCTCTCAGGCAGCATGTGCTTGATCTGTCTGCAAAGGCACAATTAGGTAGATAAATTGTAAGGCTGCTGCCTTTAGTTGCTAGCAAACGAGGTTATGTTGTCGTGTGGATGCAGAGCTGGCGCGCACACGCACACACACACAGCAGCAGGGGGCAGTGCATAATACACTTGCACCAGCAGGGGGCATTACACACATACACAGATTTTCTTCAGCAGAAAGCAGTAGCGCGCGCACTCTTTCTCTCAAGCAGGATCCCCACCCCTATTTTCTCTCTACCTGCCCCCCCCACACACATTAGACACTGTCCAGCAAGACAGAGGCAGTGCGCACGCATGTGCACAGGGTTCCCTACCCTACAGGATTGACCTGGGGTGTCTCCAGGATCTTTAATTCAAGACGATGCTTGAGAGATACAACCACCAGCCAATCGCAGCCCTACCGTGTGGGACAGGCAGGTGGTGACCCCTGCTGGAAGCGATGGGGGGGGGCTGGGACAGGGTGATCTTGCATGGGCTTAGTGGGGGGCAAGGAACATGGTGACCCTGGGGCAAGGGAGGGAGGCGACCGTGCAGAGGGTAGCCTTTGGGGAGGTGTGACCCCTCGGGGGGGGCAACGTGTATGGGTGCAAGGAGAGGGATGTACATGTGGGCAGGTTGAGGATAACCCCGTGGATGTAGGGGGAGACTCTGGGGGGAGGGTGGGGAGCAGAGACCCAATGTGAGGAGGGCTGCTCCCATGTAGGGGTGGGGCGAGGAGTGGGGACCCGATGGGGTTAGGGAGGGAATAATCCCGGGAAGAGCCCTTGGAGATGGGAAGGGGTGATCCTGTAGGGGAAGGCAGGGAGGCCTATTGCCACCAAGGCCCGGCTCAACGGCTCTGCGCCCCCAAAGGGCGGGGTTGAGAGCAGTCACCCTTGGCACCCCCCAGATTGCGGTGCATCTCTCTCCCCTCCGGGCGTCAGAGCCGCGTGGAGCAATTCAAAGGGGCCAGGGTTCTGGCCGCTGCCCAGTTCGGCCCCCGTCAGTGGACCTGGGAGCAGGGGGGAAGCGTTGGGGACAGGGGTGACCTCATGGGGGTGACTGTAGCAGGAGGGCTAATGAGTACAGGGGGAATCTTCGGGGTGGGAGAGGGCAGAAGTGATCCCGAGGGGGGAGGGGCTGGGGCGTAGTGTGTGTTATTTAATGAACCTCTTTAACATTCACTAATTTGCATAAATGCCCATCGGCTATAAGACGGGGGGAACGATGTCATGGTTGCTATGGTAACCATGACCACTCCTCCCCCTCCCGCTCTTGGATGCTCTCTCCTCCTGGCTCCCGCTCTATGGTACCCGCGCCCGCTCGCACAGTGAGGACGGAGAGCGGTGGGTAGACAATGCGCATGTGCACAGTGAAGGGCGGGGAGCGGGCGCGTAGGCTCCATGGGGCACCCAGCGCGATAGAAGAGAGAAGCACGAGCCCTAGACACTGGAGAGGGAGAGGGATACTCCTGGGCGCATGCGTTTTTGCGGCGCGGCGATGGGGCAATCATTTCCCGTTCTGCGCATGTACCCTGCAAGCGCGCTTGGATGGAACCAGGCGACGTACGCATGCGCATTGCGACGGCTTGCGGGCGGCCGCGAGCGGAGGTACTTTCCAGTGCGCATGCGCGCTGTCGGCATGGCGTGCAGGGTGGACGACTCGGCCGGCGTGTGAAGTTCTCCCCCTTCCTCCTAACGCGCATGCGCCGAGCAGACTGGGCGGAACGGCGCAGGCGCGGCTCCCTTTAGCGCACGCGCATTGTAGCGTGGGCGTCACCCCCCCATCTCTCCTCGCGCCGCTGTCAGGCGGGGGGCCGCCTCGTTTGGGTGTGTGGGGCCAGGCACAAAGCGCGCGTGCGCACTGTGGGCTGGGTTGCAGCAGCAGCAGCAGCAGCGAGCGGCGGCGGTTGAGCTCGCGCGGTCGGGTGAGTGAACGCGCGCGCGGCGCCGGTTGGAGTGAGGCGGGGGCGTCTCCCTCCCTCGCGCGAGGGGCTTTGACCGTTGGCGGGGAAGGCGGCGCGCGCGCGCGACCTAGCGAGGCCAAGCCGCGCCGTCCCTCCCCTCCCCTCCCCCCCGCCGGCCCAACACCGCGTGGAGAGGCCCGGTCGAGGGCAGGGGCGGGAACGTGGAGGGCAGACTCGCAGGGCAGGCTGGCATAGGGGCCCTGCCCTGTGGGCGGGTGATAGGGCTAGCGGTGTTAGGGGCCTTCTCTAGGGGCAGAAGGGTGGGGCGGACTGAGGCAGGGCTTAGGGTCTCCTATGAGATTTTGGGGAAAGTTGGGGGGGCTTGAGGTTCCTCCGAAGTGTTTAGGGCGGTTAAGGGGGCTGGGGTCCCCTAAGGGCTAGAGGGGACTGTTGTAAATAGGCTAAAGGGCCTTAGAGTCCCCTTAGGGGTGGGGGCGGGCGAACGGGGGGATTGTGGTCGCCTGAGGGCTCTGGGTGGGTTTGCTTACCTTCTGGAGAGAAGGAAGTATGGATGGGGGAATTTGGGCTACCCTGGGAACTAGAGGGAGGAGGGGTCTCGTGGGGTGTGTGCGTAGGAAGATGAGCCTTATTGGGAGGGAAGGAGAAGCAGTGGTCTGATAAGATGAACCTGGGGCACCAGGCAGGTGGGTAAATAAGAGCTGATTTGGGGATGTGGGAATCAGGATTTGGGAGACTCTGAGGCTATGACGGGAGGACTTGAGTCCTCCTATGAGAAGGGGGTGAGTGGGATTTCCTTGGGGAGGGATGTCTGTAGATCCTCTTGTGAGGGGCAGAGGGGGTTGAGAATTAGTGGGCGTTCCCCTAGGAATTAGGGACGGGGAAGGAGGTCTCTGGAGGGAGGAATGAGGCCTGGTTAGGTGGGGGGGGAAAAGACCCTTGAATCCCCTTCCAGGGAATTATTTAAGGGGACCCCTTGTGGGGCTGATGAGAGAGGAGTTGAGGCAGAGAATGGCCTGGCAAAGGGGGAGGGTTGTTTCCTTAGAGTGGGTTCTCAGTGTCTAATTTCCTCCAGGGGAAGCCATAAAATGGGACTAGAGATTGTCCTAGAGCAGTGGTTGCCAACCAGTAGATCCAGATCTACTGGTAGATCTTGGAGCCTCTGGCAGGTGATCCTAATTGGTTTGGCCAAGAGGCTATGAAGTGCTGGCACTTCAGCTGCCCCTCCCCCACTGCTGCTCCTCTCCTGCCCTTTGCCTTGGAGTGGCCCCTTCCCCTTGAGGAGCCTCCTGTTTTCTATACAGGGCTGGGGGGGAAAGGCGGGGTGCTGATGTCAAGGTGCCCTCTCCCACTCTGTATCCTTTCTCCACAAAGCAAGGAGGGGGCACAATAGGACTTGGGATGGAGCTTGCTGGCTGCTTTAGGGAGTGGGCAAGGGCCAGGGCAGGGGTGAGCCTGCCTTAGCCCCACTGCACTACTAACCAGGAGCCACCTAAGGTAAGCAGTTCCCAGCTGGAGCCTACATCCCGAACTCCTACCCTAGTCATGACCCCCATCCTGCATGCCAAGCCCTGATCACCCCTGCATCCAAATGCTGTCTCAGAGCATGCACGTAGACCTTCCTCCTAAGTCCCAACTGCCTGCCCCAAGAGTAGCTTAGAGCCCCCTCACACTCCAGATCCAGCCTTTAATCCAAGACCAGAGCCTGTCTCTCAACCCTCTGCCCCAGCCTGATGAAAGTGAGTGAGGATGGGCAAGAGGGAGGATGGAGTGAGCAGGGGCAGAGCCTCAGAGAAGGGGGGGGGGCAAGGGTATTTATATTTGAGACACACTTTGGATTGCACTTAAATTCAGAAAGTGATCTTCGTGCTTAAAAAGGTCAGAGACCACTGTCCTAGAGTGGAGAAGATTTGGGGGGAGAATCCCCTTCTGGGGAGGGGGATTGGAGGTGATCTGAGTGGAGTTCCCAAATAGGATAAAGGTAACTGGGGGTGGTGAGATCCTCCTAGGAAATGGGGTGGGAGGAGAGAGAGTTGAGGGGGGCTAGCTGTGAAGATTGACCTGCCATTTACTGAGGGGTCAGGATGTGGGGGCAATCCCTGTTGGGGGTCTTCCCATGGAGTTTGGGAGAGGTTCCCTTGGTGAGGGCTGCCTGAGGTATCTGGATAAAGCTCTGGAGGAAAGAACTGGGGTTAAGGGAATGACTCAGGACCATGAGGTGGAGAAGAGACATGATGGAAACATTAACTGCCCTCTCAGAAGGAAGATATCCCCCCCCCATCCCTCAGAATGGGCCTGGAGATCCTTCCCATCACTGATATTGGGGGACAGAAGGTTTGAGTGCTTGTGTCTGGGCCTGACTTGGAGGAGGCATAACTAGGCAGGAGGGGTGGCTTGGCCAACATTGCAACTGCCCTCCATGCTCTGGGTAGAGAGGATGGGGGTAACTTTCCATGGTCCTCCAACCCCTTAAGGGAAAATGTGGTGAGCTATAATATGGGTGGTGGTGGTGCAGAAAGGCATCTGGAGTTGGAGAGCAGGGAAACACTTTGGAATGTACAGGAGGGTTTTGGGATAGTGTCTAGGTGGTTTGGAGTACAAGGGGGCTATACCATCGTTTAGAAGGGTTTCTAGTGGGAGATCAGTGCAGCACTTTTAAGCACAGGGTTGGGGTTGACCTCCCTTGGAGCCCTTGTAATAGTTTGCAGGATTTGGGTACAGGAAAGTGAGTGGGGTGTAGAGAAGAGGATGGAG